GACATTTTTGCAAATAAACACCCCTAAATGATATTTTTGCAAATGTGCATATAAAAAATGGCGTTTTTGCAATTTCCGCATGAATAATTAGGTGAAATTATTTTTCCACTTTTCTTTTCAGGTTGAAAAATATACTCCAAAAGGAAAAGAAAAACATTTATTCCAAAAATTTATTTTATTTTTGAGTGATAAAAACAGAGAAGAATTGGAAATAATAATTTTTTTACCCATTTCTTTTTCTCTAGCAATGGTATCCAGTATGATATTCTAGACACAATTAAACTGTTTTTTGGTTGGAAAATATTACAGCCACTATTAAAAAAAAAACTAGTATTACAGCTTCTTTAGAGACAAATTAATTTGTTTAAGATTATTTACTCCAATATTCAACAACAAAAACATCTAAAACTTTTAATTTAGACAGCTAATATTTTCTTTTCCTAGATATTTAGGGCATCAGTATTTATTTATAATTTGAAATTATCAAAAATAACACAACAAACTATAATTTAAAACAAACCATTTTTTACCTTTATCTCTCCATTTTTTACGATCTCTCTCTAACCAATTAGTTAGTTTTTAAATTGTAGATTTTTTTTTGTTATCCCACAAATTCATCCTTTATACTTTACATTTTTTTTAGTATACCATACTTATTACTCACTATGGCACACTATCCAAAAAAAAAAAATACTCAGTATATATAAATTTTAGTCATTGCTTAATAGTTACTAGATTTTTTGTCCACGTCAAACGCGAGATTAAAATATTTGGAAATAAAAAATATAATTTTTATAATATAAGAGAGAAATTATAAACAACAAAGATCAAATGGTATATCTCCCACACATAAATATATTTTCTATTACGAAAATTAATCTACATTGACACTTAGATTGAATGTAAATGTTTTTAATGTAAATCAAATACGTTTGAGATTATTGGTTCTCTAAAATTTATTAGAGCTCACCAAACCAAAAAATATACCGTGTTACTATGTAAATCTTCTTAAATAAAAACCAATGAAATAATAAAAAGTGAAAATGATAATTTTTGAAATTTAACCATTAATATTTGATTTGTAAAGTTGTACATTTATAACAAAAACGCAACTTTAATTACAGTAATATGGATATAATTAAACGATATGAAAATAATAATTGTATGATCAATCACATTTGGTATCCAAATGAACATAAATACAATTTTTATAAAGTAATTGATGTCGGTAAATGATTCATGTTAAACATTATGTTATAGAACGTTTAAAATATTAAAATATTATATTATTTGGATTTAAATTAGTAAGATATGTATTTGTGAGTTCATGTTAAAACAAATAATGTAAATATGTATATATTTCCAACATGACATATAGAATTAATTAAAATATTTTGATTGGTTAATTTAATTAATATGTCTCTTAAAATCTTCATTGACACATAAGAATTTTTTCACTTGACTCCTCAATTAATATATATAGGATTACTTATATATATATAAAACTAGTATTAATAAAAGAGGTAGGTAAATCAAGCAATGTTGGTTGGTTGGTTGGACATCGCTGAACAACGTACTAGCTTTCATTAATTCTCGACGTGGTGAATATAATTAGAGCAAGTACCTATATTGTTTTTGTTACTTATAAGATAGACAAAACAACTATCTAAATACAGTAGTATAACTCTATTTTGTTTTGTTTACATACTTTACTCTTAATGAATATGGATCTGCAGACAAATCCTCTTTACGCAATCCAAAGGCCAGAGGCTTTTGTAAGTTTCTAGATTGCCACATTATTCAGCTGATGAACTTGGGAACATGCTTCAAACATGCCCAACTTTTTTAGCTGAATTATTCACCAACTTTCTTAGCTTTACACTATATAAATATATGCACATTCGATTTTTATTACTCACAAGTACATGCTGTATAGTAGACTATTTAATTAATAGTTAAATGTTTTGATATCTTTGATCCGTCCAAATGTAGATATTCTTTTATTTAAGTGAGTTCTCACCATTTAGACTCTAGTTGGTGATATCATGTACTAATTGGTCCCAACTTTCTCTACAATACTATGATATATTTGGAAAGGATGTGGAATGAAATTTCTAACTATCCAATCTCTATTTCATAAAAAGGATGTTATGATACAAAAATATATACTTTATTCTACTCTTATTATAGCATTATAACCAAGAAAATATTTGTTCATGCTTTAGATCAAGAAAACAATTAGCCTCATTGTTTAAAGTTGATGCTGTAGATGAAGAAAACAATTCGCCTCATTATTTAAAGTTCATTGCAATTTCAGTTTGAAATTGGACAGAGAATCGAAAACAGAATAGATCATGTAACTGGTCCGATCTAATAAAGCATATTCATACCCTAATGGATAATGTTTTTATTTCTTCCTTTTTTGACATTCAAAAGACCAAATATGACTTCATGTGTAACAATTGTCAAAAGAAGATTCTTCTTTTCTTTTCCATACCCGACGAACTAATAATAATAAAGTCTAGGCGTGACGAGTTATACTATAATATATAAATAAAGTAATTCGATTTTTCTATTTTAAGATAAATTATTGTTACGTCGATAAATTTTTGCGGTGAAAAGAAGACCCGTAAGAAAAGTTGACCAAATGATCAATTTTGTTGGTCCCAATTGCAGAAAAGTTTATAATTAAGAATTAGATTTGTTTTTTACTCAGTTTGTTGTACAAATCGCGTGAAGTCACCTAATTAACTTTTTTCAATACATAATTAAGTCAGATTAACGAAAATTATAAAAATTAAAGACGGAGAAAAAAGGACAGCTTCGAGGGAATATGTACAGCTAAAACAGCTACCGTCACACGGCAGTCACCAAAAATCCTGGCACCGACTAACACGTGGCTCTAATCTTGACCGTTCATTTCAAAAGTAATCGAACGCCGCTGGTTTGCTACCACCGAAAGTCGCCGATTTCTTGGGCTTCCTGGCGTCGGAGGGAATCTCCGGCGGAGTCAACGTCCGTATGAGCGCAAAGTTTAGACCTTTGAAAAAAGGATGTACTTTGACCTCCGCCGCGCCTCGACGTGACCCGAGTCGTTTGGTCGGATCTTTGTTGAGCAACCCGGAAATCAAACTCCGCGCGTGTAGCTCAAACATCGTCGCCGGGGAATCTGTCGGGAAAGCCAACGGTCTTTTGACTATGTTACGGAGTATGACGTCATTAGTCGGCGCAGCGAACGGAGTCCGACCGTAAATGATCTCGTATAGAAACACTCCAAAGGCCCACCAGTCAACGGCATTTCCATGGGACCCACCCGAAGCGACCTCTGGTGCCACGTATTCATGCGTACCGACGAACGAACCGGACCGGGCGGTGACCGGTTCAGCTACGAAGAGACGGTTCGGTTCGAGCGTTTGAACCTTTTTGGAACGCAAGACTCGGTGGAAAAGCCGAGCGAGACGAGTGAGTCGACGCGGTGAAGAACGCGGAAGATTCTCCGGCGACGATGCGGAGGATTCAACGGCGGCGATAGAGTCGGAGCATAAAGAAAGGTCAAAGTCAGAGAGCATAATGTGACCGTCAGATCTAACCAAGATATTTTCAGGCTTCAAATCTCTGTAGATGATACCAAGCATGTGTAGATATTCCAACGCTACAAGAACTTCGGCTGCGTAAAATCTGTTACAAAATTACAAAAAAAAACAAAAATTATAATTAAGGTAGCTCCTTCG